ATTGATTGCCAACCCAGATCTAGCAATAACTCACTCATACCTGATCTGTTGCTGCAGAGGGGCTGGATTAGGTGCTCCATGAAATTATCTCTTCCCTAACTCCATAAAGAAAATGTATATAATAACAAACATATTATATTTACTGTACCTGCTCTGTTGGAGGGTTTTGCACAGAGCAGCCCTGGTCCTCCTCTTTTTGGATCGCCTGACAGTGCTTCTGGTTCCTCCCCCGTGATTAGTGCCCCCATAGCAAGCATCTTGCCATGGAGGCACTCTTGAGTGCTTGCTCCCGAGCCATGCTTTGTGTGTCCATAAGACACACAGAATGGGGCTCGGACCTGCTCCTGCTCCCTCCTTATTGGCTGTGATTGACAACAGCAGGAGCCAATGGCTCCCGTTGCTGTCCCTGAGTCAATGAGGAGGCTATCGTGCACATTGCTGGATCGGGCTCAGGTAAGTATTGGGGGGGGGGCAGTGGGGGAAGCTGCATACTGAAGGTTTTTTACCTTTATGCATAGAATGCTTCAGATTTTACAACTACTTTCATTAGAGAAAATAATTTAGAAAATAAATTCTTCCTATTAACCCTTAGATCCTAATAATTTTTTTTGTTTTTAATAATAATATTTCCATCTATAGTGTGTGCATCAAACGCTCATGCAAGCTTTTCAATGTTCAGCAATTTTATGAAAACCTGCATAAACAGTACTACTAATTCCTGGAGGCGTAAACTCATTCTTATCTTAGTGCAACGCTATCAGTTTCTTCAAATAGATGTATTTTTACCTTTATGTCACAGGTGTCAAAACACAAGGCCGCGGGCCGAATCTGGCCCTCCAGGTAATTTCATGTGGCCCTTGCGTCTCTCCTGCAGGTACCCCCTTGTCTCTGCCCCCACCTTGTCTCAGCAGTTGGCATCAGAGAGGAGAATGGAACTCCTCTGCCAAATCCTGCACCTCTCAGTGCAGCTGCAACACCCCCTTATCTCTTCCTCCCCTGATCTCAGCATTCAGCAGACTCTGGTAACTGACTCCACTACTCCTCTGGTCCTCAATCAGACCCTGCACTTTCTGCTTTCCAGCTCTGCCCCCAAAGGTGTGCACGGTGAGGGAGGGTGTGGGATTCTTGACATCCGATGTAATGGGGGGTGAGGTGCTCTGGACATCTAGTCCTGAAGATACAACTGGCCCTTTGAGGGCAACCATAATGCTGATACGGCCCGCAATGAAATGGAGTTTGACACCCCTGCTTTATGTGATGTTGCATCTCAAAAATTCTTCCTGAATCAAAAGGTCGACTTCTGCTTGATGTAAAAAAACACATTTATATGGTATAATATTTCTCAGAAAAAAACAAAACCACCAATAAAAAAAACAAACAAAAATAGCTAGATCAAGGTTTGTGCCAGGGTTAGTGTTTTGGTCAAGGTCAGGGTCAAAGGTCAATATCAGGGTCAAAAGTCAGGATCAGGTTTTTGGTTTTGATTCCTTTGGTCAGGGTTTTTTTTAATTTTTAAATTCGTATCAGTGTCAGTGGCAGGTCTAAAAAAAAAAGCAAATTGCGCATTATTGTTTCTGGGCTCTACTATGGGTACTGACAACAACTAACACATGTAATAAAAGATGTGATAGTGAGCGCGACTTAAATACAAAAAGTGTATCGATGTGTATACACAAAAACGTTAGTGAGCAGCTGATACACCGAAAAGGTAACCAAGTAAAACCTCCAAATCGAACATATATATTAAATAAATGGTGCAGCGCTAAATACTAGAGCACAGTTTATACACACAATATATAAACATGCATGATATCACTCTAAGGGTGATCAATAGATACAAAAGTTCAATGTAATAGTGCGGATCATAGAGAGATCCCAAATCAAGGTGAGTGGACGTCCTGATCCAAGGTGTGATGGTAGGTGTGATCACACAAATAGGTGAAAAACGCACTCACCAGATGTGCGTTTAATATACGCAATATGCAATCCTGCGTCACCAGGCCATAAAACGATCATCAGATCCCAGATCAGATTGTACCCAGATCACCATCCCGGTTCCACAGAAGTGAAGTCATCTGAAACCCCTACCAGGTATCACCACCAGGGTCCTGAGTCCTCCAGATGGGCACTGCGAATGATAGCACTCACACAGAGTGCCCAATAAGAGACCTCATAGCGTGATACTGCTTTAGATGCTTTTATTCAGGGTTGGTTGGTGTGGGGTACATAAAAAGATTAACCAAAAAGATTACTGACCATATGTATTCCTAGGTAGTTAGGTGTCCTGCTGCTGCTGCCCCCTGACGCGTTTCGTGCGATGCACGTATTCATAGGGTCCAGGGCTAGCCAAGACATCCTCATCAGTGCTATTTATAAATGTAAATGGCAAATTTTGCCTAATACGGCCGCCATTTTCTCGGCTATCCGCGCATGCGCAGAACGCCGGCGTCGTCGTCCCGCGCTACTGCGCATGCGTGAGCGATCGCCGCCATTTTGTCGTGGATCGCGGATGCGATCTACAGCAGGAAGTCTCCTACAGTGCGGCGCCATTTTGTTGGCAGTGTAAAGGGATAAAAGAGCAGTATTAACTGCTCAGGATTTATACAGCCAAAAAGCCATTATAATAGCATCCCTGTGCAAACTGAGAAGTGAGATTGCTCACACTCCTAGGCTCAGATTCAGTGCACAGGGGATATTCTTTAGGGACCAATCATAAATTAGAAGACCTGGAAGTCGCTCAGAATATATATATATATAAAATATATATAAAAAAACCTATATAATATTACACAAACTCCATTATATTTTGCTGAAATCAAATCAGGTAAGGGATTAAATCAGCATAAATATTCTCTATGAGTATACAAATATAAATAGCACTAAAATATATGGTCAGACAGAAATACATAAATACAATATATGTGTACAATTTAAATTAGCAGTTAATGTATATAAATATATATGAAAACATATGGTCAAAAACTTCAATACAATCCAAAATCTCATGATTACATAATAAAAACACATGATTAAAATAATATGATACTAAATCCATAAATCACAATGAATATTTCATATTGAGTATTAAAAATTAATTATTAAAAACGCCAATTAGAAACGCCTTAAAAAAGATGACGGGAAATGAAAAGAGACACTTCATTAAAATAATGATAACAGGAAATCGGCCCGATTGTTGTATGCTAATAACATGTGTATGGTTATATTCATAATAATATGGTATTTAATCCTAAAATGTTCATAATAATTCAAGTAAAAATCTATATATATCTGTATGGACCCAAAAGGGTAGGAATACTTCATCCTTCTGTTATCTATTGTCTAAAAAGCAATTTAGATCGAAATCTATATTCAATCCCTTGGGGTGCAAGGACCCAAGTTCGTAGATCCACCGCGATTCGAGCTGAGATACCGCCCGTTTTCTATTTGTTCCTCGCCAATGGGCATTTACAATGCCTATGCCCATGAATTTGAGTGACGAGGGATCGCTATTGTGATGGATCTTATAATGCTGTGACAAGGAGTGGTCTTTGTATCCCTTTTTGATGTTATTAACGTGCTCCTTCAGTCTGTCTCTGAGGCGTCTGGTAGTACGCCCGACATATTGGAGGTTGCACGGACATTGGAGCAAGTATACCACGAATCTACTAGTACAAGTTATAAAATCATCCATGTCATATTGTTTACCCCTCGTTGTGGAAATAAAATGATTGCTCTTATTAGTATATTTACTGCATTGACAGATAACACATTTTCTGCAGGGGTGAAATCCTTTTAAATTAGTGAACATAATAGTATTTTTGGGTGGATCCACTATATTGGGGGCGATCTTATTTCTGAGCGGTGACACTCTTCTGAAAATAATTTCAGGTTTCTCCGGCAATAGTGTATTTAATACTGGATCCGATTTCAGAATCCCCCAATTTTTATTGATAATACTCGTGATTTTTCTGTGTTGTAAAGAATAATTTGTAATAAACGGACATATTTGCTTTGATTTTTGTTTAGGGATGTTGTTTAACAACAAACTTCTGTCTGATTTACCTATGGTATCTATGGTCTGATCAAGGGTGGGGCCATCATACCCTTTTTGCACAAATTTATCCTTAATTATCTTAGCCTGTTTATAATAGGTCTCCACATTGGTGCAATTCCGCTTGATCCTGGAGAACTGACCCTTTGGTATATTACGTAACCAAACCGGATGGTGACAGCTGTCAGTTGAAATATAGCCGTTTCTGTCCGTTGGTTTGAAGTAGGTTTCAGTCATTATTTTACCGTTATAATTTATTAATACCAGATCTAAAAAGTTAACACTAATTTGACTGTATTCAAACATGAGCTTAATGTTTAAAGAATTAAAATTCAAGGTGGTAAAAAAATTTAAAAGGGCTTGTTCCTCACCATTCCATATGAGGAGGATGTCATCAATGTATCTACGATAAAAAGAGAGCTCGGGCCAGTCTCTCGCGTAGATGACATCCTCCTTCCATCTGGCCATAAACAAATTTGCTAAACTGGGGGCAAACTTTGCCCCCATGGCCACGCCCTTTTCTTGCAAAATAAAAGTTGTGGCCAAACCAAAAATAGTTCTTCGTCATCGCAAAGTCTAATAGAGTTAAAATATAGTTCTTATGCGAATCAGACATATGCATAAAATCACAATTTTTTAAAAAGAAATCAACCGCCTCCATCCCATCCGAATGTTTTATACTTGTGTACAAAGATGTCACATCTGCCGTAACCAAAAAAGTACCTTTATCTATAGTGATTAGAGATGAGCGAAGAAATGAAAAATTCGATTCGACTGATTCGGCGAATTCGTGGACAATATTCGATTCGAGTCGAATAAATTCGCTGTGAATTTAACTTAAAAAAGGGTGTTTCTAGGCTTCAGAGAGACTTAATATTAGTGCAGAACACTGTACCTTTAATTTAAATGCCCTTGGAGTCTGCTGGGGAAGAGAAATAATACTGTCACTCAGTATGACATGCAGATGAGTGCCGTCGATCTTAGAATCACCGCACACTTCACTCATTTGGCCAGTCACGGGGCCAAAACCAGTGTTTGGAGCCACAGTGTGGCGGTGGAGGCAGCAGCAATGGGAGGCCATACAGCAACCTATGACAAAATGGAAACCAGCAGGAGTGTGAGGAGACCTGAAAGTGGCACATGGCAGAGTGGGAGCAATGGGAGGCGGTACAAGGACCCATGTCACACTGTGGACCCAGCAGCAGCGTGACCAGGCGGTACGGGGGCCCATGGCAGATTACAGGCCTGGCAGCAGCAATGGGAGGCCCGTAATCTGCCAGCACCCTATGACAAAAAATGTAACACACCAGCAGTGTGTGAGGAGACCTGAAAGTGGCACATGGCAGAGTGTGGCGATGGAGACAGCAGCAATGGGAGGCCGTACAGGGACCCATGAGAGACTCTGGACCTGGCAGCAGCATGAGGAGGCGGTATATAGGGGCCCATGGCAGATTAGGGGCCTGGCAGCAGCTATAGGAGGCCCGTAATCTGCCAGCACCCTATGACAAAAAATTGAACACACACCAGCAGTGTGTGAGGAGACCTGAAAGTGGCACATGGCAGAGTGTGGCGATGGAGACAGCAGCAATGGGAGGCCGTACAGGGACCCATGAGAGACTCTGGACCTGGGCAGCAGCATGAGGAGGAGGCGGTATAGGGGGCCCATGGCAGAGTAGGGGCCTGGCAGCAGCTATAGGAGGCCCGTAATCTGCCAGCACCCTATGACAAAAAATTGAACACACCAGCAGTGTGTGAGGAGACCTGAAAGTGGAGGAGACCTGAAAGTGGCAGCATGGCATGAGAGACTGTGGACTCTGGACCTGGCAGCAGCATGAGGAGGCGGTATATAGGGGCCCATGGCAGATTAGGGGCCTGGCAGCAGCTATGGGAGGCCCGTAATCTGCCAGCACCCTATGTCAAAAAATGGAAACACACAAGCAGTGTGAGGAGACCTGAATGTGGCACATGGCAGAGAGTGTGGCGATGGAGACAGCAGCAATGGGAGGCCGTACAGGGACCCATGACAGACTCTGGACTTGGCAGCAGCATGAGGAGGCGGTATAGGGGCCCATGGCAGATTAGGGGCCTGGCAGCAGCTATGTGGGAGGCCCGTAATCTGCCAGCACCCTATGACAAAAAATGTAACACACCAGCAGTGTGAGGAGACCTGAAAGTGGCACATGGCAGAGTGTGGCGATGGAGACAGCAGCAATGGGAGGCCGTACAGGGGGACCCATGAGAGACTCTGGACCTGGGCAGCAGCATGAGGAGGCGGTATAGGGGCCCATGGCAGATTAGGGGCCTGGCAGCAGCTATGGGAGGCCCGTAATCTGCCAGCACCCTATGACAAAAAATTGAACACAGCACCAGCAGTGTGAGGAGACCTGAAAGTGGCACATGGCAGATGTGGCGATGGAGACAGCAGCAATGGGAGGCCGTACAGGGACCCCCATGAGAGACTCTGGACCTGGCAGCAGCATGAGGAGGCGGTATAGGGGCCCATGGCAGATTAGGGGCCTGGCAGCAGCTATGGGAGGCCCGTAATCTGCCAGCACCCTATGACAAAAAATGGTAACACACCAGCAGTGTGAGGAGACCTGAAAGTGGCACATGTTTGGGGCATGATTCATGGCGGATTTAGTCAGTTGTGTCAGGAACTGGTGGTTTGAAATCCAGACTAATCCACGCCTGATTCATTTTCACAAACGTGAGTCTCTCCACACTTTGGGGTGGACAGTCGTGTCCTCCGCGGAGTTACAATACCTCCTGCCGACTAAACACGCGCTCCGATGCCACGCTACTGGCCGGGCATGACAGCCTTTCAAGGGCAAATTCAGCTAGTTGGGGCCAAAGGTCAAGTTTCGTTGCCCAGTAGTCAAGGGGATTGTCTACCTCGGTTGGCAGGGTGCTGTCCAAGTAGGCCTAAGCCTGTTGTTTGAGGTCCTGCTCCAGGTCCACCTGATGCTGCTGCTGCTGCTGCTGCGGCTGGTTAGTAGTTTCCTCACTGCGCTGGTGAAGAAAGCTACTCATCATCGACTGCAGACTGAGGCAGCGCTGCTGGTGGAGCTGCCACTGCTCCTACCACCCCACCCCTCCCCTGCTGCCATGGCAGCGGAACGCGAGCGCACAGGGCCCACAGTGTCTGAGGATGGACGTTGGCGCAGAAAGGCAGAGACCAGCTGACTACATAGGTGGTTTTTATAGTAGTTATTTTTGGCCTCCCTCTCAGCAGGTGTGAAAAAGGCCACCATTTTTGAACGGTAGCGAGGGTCCAAAGGTGGACAGCCAAAAGTCATCCCTCTGTCTGATGGTTATTATTCGGCTGTCGCTACGCAAGCAAGCGAGCATGCTATGGGCCATTTGTGCCAAGGAATGCGAGGGACTCCCTGCCTCCATCTCCACAGCATACTGCCACGGTGCGTCTGGGTCCTCTGTCTCCTCCTCCTCCTCCTCTACCAGATGCTCCTGCTCCTCCACTCCTGTCCGCTGAGTGGAAAAAAACCACCCATTTCACTCAATAATTCCTGAGCACACCAATGTCCTCCTCTACCCTCCTCCTCTTCTTCCTGTCCTGCCCCCACAGGGGTCATGTGGCGTTGAGATCTGTGCGCCACGTCTACCGCACCCTGACCAGCCATTGTTAACAGCATTTGTTCCAGGACGTGCAACAGAGGAATGACGTCGTTCATCCCATAGTCCTGCCGACTCACGAATAGCGTGGCCTCCTCAAAGGGCCTGAGCAAGCGCAGGTGTCACGCATGAGCTGCCAATGGCTGACATCTAAGTTACACAGGGAGTACCTTTATCCGCTTTTAACATCAGGAAATCTGTGATGGCCTTTCGCTGTTCGTAAAGGCGGTCTAACATATGTAGGGTTGAATTCCACCTTGTTGCAACGTCACAGCATGAGGAGTCGGTACGGGGGCCCATGGCAGATTACGGGCCTGGCAGCAGCAATGGGAGGCCCGTAATCTGCCACCCTATGTCAAAAAATTGGAACACACCAGCAGTGTGTGAGGAGACCTGAAAGTGGCACATGGCAGAGTGTGGCGATGGAGACAGCAGCAATGGGAGGCCGTCGTACAGGGACCCATGAGACTCTGGACTTGGCAGCAGCATGAGGAGGCGGTGGTATAGGGGCCCATGGCAGATTAGGGGCCTGGCAGCAGCTATGGGAGGCCCGTAATCTGCCAGCACCCTATGTCAAAAAATGGAACACACCAGCAGTGTGAGGAGACCTGAAAGTGGCACATGGGAGATGTGGCGATGGAGACAGCAGCAATGGGACCGTGGACCCATGAGCAGCTCTGGACCTGGCAGCAGCATGAGGAGGCGGTATATAGGGGCCCATGGCAGATTAGGGGCCTGGCAGCAGCTATGGGAGGCCCGTAATCTGCCAGCACCCTATGTCAAAAAATTGAACACACCAGCAGTGTGTGAGGAGACCTGAAAGTGGCACATGGCAGAGTGTGGCGATGGAGACAGCAGCAATGGGAGGCCGTACAGGGACCCATGAGAGACTCTGGACCTGGCAGCAGCATGAGGAGGCGGTATATAGGGGCCCATGGCAGATTAGGGGCCTGGCAGCAGCTATGGGAGGCCCGTAATCTGCCAGCACCCTATGTCAAAAAATGGAACACACCAGCAGTGTGAGGAGACCTGAAAGTGGCACATGGCAGAGTGTGGCGATGGAGACAGCAGCAATGGGAGGCCGTACAGGGACCCATGAGAGACTCTGGACTGGCAGCAGCATGAGGAGGCGGTATAGGGGCCCATGGCAGATTAGGGGCCTGGCAGCAGCTATGGGAGGCCCGTAATCTGCCAGCACCCTATGTCAAAAAAAATTGAACACACCAGCAGTGTGTGAGGAGACCTGAAAGTGGCACATGCAGCAGAGTGTGGCGATGGATGGGAGACAGCAGCAATGGGAGGCCGTACAGGGACCCATGAGAGACTCTGGACCTGGCAGCAGCATGAGGAGGCGGTATATAGGGGCCCATGGCAGATTAGGGGCCTGGCAGCAGCTATGGGAGGCCCGTAATCTGCCAGCACCCTATGTCAAAAAATGGAACACACCAGCAGCAGTGTGAGGAGGAGACCTGAAAGTGGCCCATGGCAGCAGAGTGTGATGGAGGCCCGCGATGGATTGACACACAGCAGCAATGGGAGGCCGTACAGGGACCCATGACAGGGACTCTGGACCTGGCTGGCAGCAGCATGAGGAGGCGGTATATAGGGGCCCATGGCAGATTAGGGGCCTGGCAGCAGCTATGGGAGGCCCGTAATCTGCCAGCACCCTATGTCAAAAAAATGGAAACACACCAGCAGTGTGTGAGGAGACCTGAAAGTGGCACATGGCAGAGTGTGGCGATGGAGACAGCAGCTGAATGGGGCCGTACAGGGACCCATGAGAGACTCTGGACCTGGCAGCAGCATGAGGGAGGGCGGTATAGGGGCCCATGGCAGATTAGGGGCCTGGCAGCAGCTATGGGAGGCCCGTAATCTGCCAGCACCCTATGTCAAAAAATTGAACACACCAGCAGCAGTGTGAGGAGACCTGAAAGTGGCACATGGCAGAGTGTGGCGATGGATGGAGACAGCAGCAATGGGAGGCCGTACAGGGACCCCATGAGAGACTCTGGACCTGGCAGCAGCATGAGGAGGCGGTATATAGGGGCCCATGGCAGATTAGGGGCCTGGCAGCAGCTATGGGAGGCCCGTAATCTGCCAGCACCCTATGTCAAAAAAATTCTACACACCAGCAGTGTGAGGAGACCTAAAGTGGCACATGGCAGAGTGTGGCGATGGAGACAGCAGCAATGGGAGGCCGTACAGGGACCCATGAGAGACTCTGGACCTGGCAGCAGCAGCATGAGGAGGCGGTATATAGGGGCCCATGGCAGATTAGGGGCCTGGCAGCAGCTATGGGAGGCCCGTAATCTGCCAGCACCCTATGTCAAAAAATTGAACACACCAGCAGTGTGTGAGGAGACCTGAAAGTGGCACATGGCAGAGTGTGGCGATGGAGACAGCAGCAATGGGAGGCCGTACAGGGACCCATGAGAGACTCTGGACTTGGCAGCAGCATGAGGAGGGCGGTATATAGGGGCCCATGGCAGATTAGGGGCCTGGCAGCAGCTATGGGAGGCCCGTAATCTGCCAGCACCCTATGTCAAAAAAATTGAACACACCAGCAGTGTGAGGAGACCTGAAAGTGGCACATGGCAGAGTGTGGCGATGGAGACAGCAGCAGCAATGGGAGGCCGTACAGGGACCCATGAGAGACTCTGGACCTGGCAGCAGCAGCATGAGGAGGAGGCGGTATATAGGGGCCCATGGCAGATTAGGGGCCTGGCAGCAGCTATATGGGAGGCCCGTAATCTGCCAGCACCCTATGTCAAAAAATTCAAACACACCAGCAGTGTGAGGAGACCTGAAAGTGGCACATGGCAGAGTGTGGCGATGGAGACAGCAGCAAGCAATGGGAGGCCGTACAGGGACCCATGAGAGACTCTGGACCTGGCAGCAGCATGAGGAGGCGGGTATATAGGGGCCCATGGCAGATTAGGGGCCTGGCAGCAGCTATGGGAGGCCCGTAATCTGCCAGCACCCTATGTCAAAAAATTCTAACACACCAGCAGTGTGAGGAGACCTGAAAGTGGCACATGGCAGAGTGTGGCGATGGAGACAGCAGCAATGGGAGGCCGTACAGGGACCCATGAGAGACTCTGGACCTGGCAGCAGCATGAGGAGGCGGTATATAGGGGCCCATGGCAGATTAGGGGCCTGGCAGCAGCTATGGGAGGCCCGTAATCTGCCAGCACCCTATGTCAAAAAATTGAACACACCAGCAGTGTGTGAGGAGACCTGAAAGTGGCACATGGCAGAGTGTGGCGATGGAGACAGCAGCAATGGGGCCGTACAGGGACCCATGAGAGACTCTGGACCTGGCAGCAGCATGAGGAGGCGGTATATAGGGGCCCATGGCAGATTAGGGGCCTGGCAGCAGCTATGGGAGGCCCGTAATCTGCCAGCACCCTATGTCAAAAAATTGAACACACCAGCAGTGTGTGAGGAGACCTGAAAGTGGCACATGGCAGAGTGTGGCGATGGAGACAGCAGCAATGGGAGGCCGTACAGGGACCCATGAGAGACTCTGGACCTGGGCAGCAGCATGAGGAGGCGGTATATAGGGGCCTATGGCAGATTAGGGGCCTGGCAGCAGCTATGGGAGGCCCGTAATCTGCCAGCACCCTATGTCAAAAAATTGAACACACACCAGCAGTGTGTGAGGAGACCTGAAAGTGGCACATGGCAGAGTGTGGCGATGGAGACAGCAGCAATGGGAGGCCGTACAGGGACCCATGAGAGACTCTGGACTGGCAGCAGCATGAGGAGGCGGTATAGGGGCCCATGGCAGATTAGGGGCCTGGCAGCAGCTATGGGAGGCCCGTAATCTGCCAGCACCCTATGTCACAAAAAATTAACACACCAGCAGTGTGTGAGGAGACCTGAAAGTGGCACATGGCAGAGTGTGGCGATGGAGACAGCAGCAATGGGAGGCCGTACAGGGACCCATGAGAGACTCTGGACCTGGCAGCAGCAGCATGAGGAGGCGGTATATAGGGGCCTATGGCAGATTAGGGGCCTGGCAGCAGCTATGGGAGGCCCGTAATCTGCCAGCACCCTATGTCAAAAAAATTGGAACACACCAGCAGTGTGAGGAGACCTGAAAGTGGCACATGGCAGAGTGTGGCGATGGAGACAGCAGCAATGGGAGGCCGTACAGGGACCCATGAGAGACTCTGGACCTGGCAGCAGCATGAGGAGGCGGTATATAGGGGCCCATGGCAGATTAGGGGCCTGGCAGCAGCTATGGGAGGCCCGTAATCTGCCAGCACCCTATGTCAAAAAATTGTAACACACCAGCAGTGTGAGGAGACCTGAAAGTGGCACATGGCAGAGTGTGGCGATGGAGACAGCAGCAATGGGAGGCCGTACAGGGACCCATGACAGACTCTGGACCTGGCAGCAGCATGAGGAGGCGGTATAGGGGCCCATGGCAGATTAGGGGCCTGGCAGCAGCTATGGGAGGCCCGTAATCTGCAGCAGCACCCTATGTCAAAAAATGGAACACACCAGCAGCAGTGTGTGAGGAGACCTGAAAGTGGCACATGGCAGAGTGTGGCGATGGAGACAGCAGCAACTGTGGACCTACAGGGACCCATGAGAGCTGGAGCAGCATGAGGAGGCGGTATAGGGGCCCATGGCAGATTAGGGGCCTGGCAGCAGCTATGGGAGGCCCGTAATCTGCCAGCACCCTATGACAAAAAATGGAACACACCAGCAGTGTGAGGAGACCTGAAAGTGGCACATGTTTGGGGCATGATTCATGGCGGATTTAGTCAGTTGTGTCAGGAACTGGTGGTTTGAAATCCAGACTAATCCACGCCTGATTCATTTTCACAAACGTGAGTCTCTCCACACTTTGGGTGGACAGTCGTGTCCTCCGCGGAGTTACAATACCTCCTGCCGCACTAAACACGCGCTCCGATGCCACGCTACTGGCCGGGCATGACAGCCTTTCAAGGGCAAATTCAGCTAGTTGGGGCCAAAGGTCAAGTTTCGTTGCCCAGTAGTCAAGGGGATTGTCTACCTCGGTTGGCAGGGTGCTGTCCAAGTAGGCCTAAGCCTGTTGTTTGAGGTCCTGCTCCAGGTCCACCTGATGCTGCTGCTGCTGCTGCTGCGGGCTGGTTAGTAGTTTCCTCACTGCGCTGGTGAAGAAAGCTACTCATCATCGACTGCAGACTGAGGCAGCCGCTGCTGGTGGAGCTGCCACTGCTCCTACCACCCCACCCTCCCCTGCTGCCATGGCAGCGGAACGCGAGCGCACAGGGCCCACAGTGTCTGAGGATGGACGTTGGCGCAGAAAGGCAGAGACCAGCTGACTACATAGGTGGTTTTTATAGTACGTTATTTTGGCCTCCCTCCCTCTCAGCAGGTGTGAAAAAGGCCACCATTTTTGAACGGTAGCGAGGGTCCAACAAGGTGGACAGCCAAAAGTCATCCCTCTGTCTGATGGTTATTATTCGGCTGTCGCTACGCAAGCAAGCGAGCATGCTATGGGCCATTTGTGCCAAGGAATGCGAGGGACTCCCTGCCTCCCATCTCCACAGCATACTGCCACGGTGCGTCTGGGTCCTCTGTCTCCTCCTCCTCCTCCTCTACCAGATGCTCCTGCTCCTCCACTCCTGTCCGCTGAGTGGAAAAAACCACCCATTTCACTCAATAATTCCTGAGCACAAATGTCCTCCTCTACCTCCTCCTCTTCTTCCTGTCCTGCCCCCACAGGGGTCATGTGGCGTTGAGATCTGTGCGCCACGTCTACCGCACCCTGACCAGCCATTGTTAACAGCATTTGTTCCAGGACGTGCAACAGAGGAATGACGTCGTTCATCCCATAGTCCTGCCGACTCACGAATAGCGTGGCCTCCTCAAAGGGCCTGAGCAAGCGGCAGGTGTCACGCATGAGCTGCCAATGGCTGACATCGAAGTTACACAGGGGAGTACCTTTATCCGCTTGTAACATCAGGAAATCGGTGATGGCCTTTCGCTGTTCGTAAAGGCGGTCTAACATGTGTAGGGTTGAATTCCACCTTGTTGCAACGTCGCAG